TTACTGCTCCAAGGACTGTGACTAACATTTGCCGAAGATGGATTGTTGTTAGTATTCAGTCTATTCTTTCGAACCTGCAGTGAACTTTCAATAGATGTCTTAATAAGATTACTAATTTCCGAAATCATATTTCATTGTTGTTCCTGTATGACTGAGTGGATATAGTTCGTCATACTTTCATTGGTCTCGCCACCTATGGAGTGATTCCTTAAGCTTCCCAAGGATGTACGACTCCCTACTAAGTCACTGGGGTACCGGGTTTGTGAACGAGTTTGCATACGACTACGTGGGTATGCGCCTTGACCTCTATGCGGCCTACCTTTTCCACGTGGCTTACCACTGGCTTTGCCTATTGGATGGGTGTCCGCTTGAACGGTTTGCCTTACAACCACTTCAGGAACCTCTATCAATACGACTTCGGCTCCTAATTCCACTGCTAAATTGTTTCCCTCATATCTCAGACAGTCTGAGTCAATGGCTACGTTGCATATAGGGCAACCTTTATTAGTTTTTATGAACTGTACCATACAAGTACTATGAAAGTGGTGTTGGCACGGTGTTGTAGCAACCAACTGATTCTGACCCAAGGCATCATTACAAATAGCACACTGCTGAGGCGAGAAACCAGACGCAGTGTTGCCTTCAGGACTACGTGTCACGGGCATATTTCAATTACAATAAAAAAAGTTCTTTATATAGTTTTAATCAAAAGAAAACAATAATAATAAAAATCTGTGACCTAATATCGTGTAATTTTAGGTCTATCGCCTTTCAAAAATGTCAAATACTAAACAAACAAAACAAACCAATCTTATTCACGAAATCTGTCAACTGCATGTGATACTGTAAAACTACTCTTTGCTATTTTCAAGTCACTTAAGAAAGAATATTTTTGCTGGTCAGACTTCAGAAGCTTCTTCAGAGATCTGCTATTCCAAGCCTATATTTCTCTTTCGAGTAACTCTGTTGGTGAGTCAAATAAACAATAAGAGCCATTTGAACATTCGGTCAAGTACTGGTCGACCAATCTGGTATTTACCGAATTGCCATCGCTGTTTCCAGGTACTATGACACGAGTTAATTTAGCATAAAATATTTAAAGACCAGATTCGATATGGTTGCTCGATCCGTATTCAACAAATCGTAACAAAATTTCTAATACCGAGGTTCCGCGCCATATTTATACCTATCCTTCATCCGATCTCTATATGAATATTAAGAAAAAATGAAAATTATTTTGGATGGATTTTTCGAGCCTTTTGCCGCGAAGCTAACCAATTCATAAACAGCTGTTCGCTAATACCATCTCTAGTAATTCTTTCCCTATAGACCGAGTCAGAAATCTAGGTTGAATTCTGTACTGATTGAATTAGATAAAGCCGAATTATTTCGGGCCCCACGTTGGGCGCCAATTGTGTAGCGGTGCCGGTGGATTAAACAGAAAATTCTTCTATAGAAGTAAATTTCATGAACATGGAGGAGATAGGAGGCGTGCACTTCTCGCTATGCTCGAATTTAGCTCGTCGGATGGGGTGGGGTTCTTCCTCACTCCTACCATGTAACACTCTGCCACAATAATTAAGTGCACATAACAAACAAAAGAAACTAAAGTAAATAAACAAACTACTAGCAATATTCCCCGAAATAATTTAGCATACAATCGGCAGATGAAACTGCGAATTAGATAGATTTGTGAGGGTATCCTGATGTTGGTGGACCCCTGTTCTTTACTCACCCTACCTAGACAACACCGATGTTGGTAATTAAGGGTTGTCCCTATAATAACTTCTAATAAAGCTACTCGGTTTGTTTAGTTATTGGCATGATGTCCAGCGATAGACCCCTAAAAATAAAATTTAAGCATTCATTTCTATTCTAGCAAATTCTATGATTCCGTTTTATTTTTAAGTTCAAAATTCATTGTTTCAAAGTCGACAAAGATGTGATAATCATTGGACATTCATAATAATCGAACATTATTTCTTCCGTATGTTTCACTACTATTTTCCATCAAAAATTTTAACATCAGGAAACTTTTAAAAGAATCATAAAAAGAAACTATTTTAATAAGAAATGGCATAATGTGACGCAGCACCCGAATTGCCTGATAAAAATACAAAAAAAATGCAATTCTTCTTAGCCACCTGCTAATGATCCACGATTTTCATTATACAAAATAAAGTGAAAAGACCTAGCACATCATTGGGAAATTGGTCTCTTCCGAGATGGCATCGCATTTTACCCACGGTGGTCCAAGAGTAAATTTCGGTGACGCTCCGGAACAAGTATTCAAAAATTGATCAGCTACACAGCATCTGGCTTTGATTAGCAATCCCAGTGCAGCTCCAATTTTAGGTATGAAATAGCCGCAGCGCCGTTGCCGAAATACGCCAACCGTTGCAGCGACGCTTGCAGCTCTGTCGTCAGTAACTAAAGCGACGACATGACGTCACCGTCACATGGCGGGTTTTATATAAACCGCTTCATCTGCTTATGCGTGCGGAGATTTACCACGTATAGTAGTATATATGATATACACCCGAGATTTGGGCGACCCTAATCAGGAATCAAAAACCCAAGGGTGAGGGCACTGGCACTAGGCACTAATTATTTGAAATTGTAGGCAATATATATTGTAGAACGATACTAAATTACCTGGCCACTCCAGCAAAAATCAGAATAAGCACTTTATTGCGGAATTAATATTTATTTATTTTTTTAAATTTTTGGCAATACAATGACTTGTCAAATTCAATTTTTGGCACTGGTTTTTTTATTTTCGTGCGAAGGTATTAAAATAGGCTCTGGGGCAACAATTACTTAGCAGGCTTAGTCTGTTACACTCAGAAGTCGGTAACGAAGTGAACTGTACCTCATGCAAGCACTTTAGCTAGCCCTATGCAATTTTCAGCCAAGCCGATCTTAAAACAACAACACATTAGCCCTTAGCCGAAATCTGCAAAAGAAACTTGGGCACTGATAAGCAACGGCATAATCGTATGATGTTGCTCCGCTTATCCAAGGTGACCGCAGCATAAAGAGAAGATACAGACTCATAAGCACTAACTGGAAGTATTTTCCGAATTTTCTCTAACTCCCGTAATTCTTAGAATTTCGAACTCAAATTTGTCAAGTAACTCTAGTGATTATGTGTACGTATGCCAAGTTTCATTATGATAGACCGATTTAACGGAAAGTTATAGCCAAAAATATAATTGTTGTCCCAGCGCTGCCCGCAGCTGTTGTTGATGCTGGTGCTTTGGTTGACTGCAAACATGTTTACACATACACAAATAGACGCTCATAGACATTCATACACTCACATAGACGCAATTGCAATGTAAATGGGCAATTATACACGCTTTACGTGAGATCGAATACCGACAGAAGTAAAATCAATCAAAATTTTTTTTTTTAATTTTTTTAAAATTTCTATTTTCTATAATTATTCTAAACATATGAACATAGTATTTCAATGTCGGGAACAAATATGCCATGTGCATTAATATTAGCCCGCGAGCATTTGCGGAAACGCATATTAATTCTTGGAAAAATTCAACACAAATGTTTAAGAAGGGCATCTGATCCTACAAAAGATTGTTGCTTATAAACATTTAATTTATTTTAGATTTTTTATAACATCATTTCGATTTTTTCGCAATTACGGGTATACTTCCATAAATTGGACGAAAATTGCAACCTGTTGTGGCGATCTATGTTTTGCAAAAATTACCATTTGAACTTGAATTCAGAAATTACAAAAATGTACTTACATGTACTTTTTGCACACAATTTTCGCCAAGTTTGTTTAATTTAAACACAGTTATGTGGTACTTATTTGAAACGAGAATTGCGTCAGTTATGTATTTTATTTTTAACTTTCGTTTGACTCACAACTTTAGACTTAACTCAACAAATTGTGATGTTCGAAAAATGTAATGTTCTCTTCGGGCCAATAATATTAACGTAAGATATGCAAATTATTTTTGATGCAAATTATTCAGAAAAACTATAAGGTTTATATTCCAATGATTATTTTTATTTGGAAAAATGTCTTTGTTAGTGTTTTTAGCAAAGCAAACAAGATCTGAAACATCCCAAAACCAATTTCTGTGGCACCGAGAATTGGCTTTGAGGCGAAACTTAGGCGGAAGAGATCCATTTATGCTTTGTTGAAAAATAAAGCAATCAATGCTCGGAATTCAATAAAATACTGGAATTGTGCGAGCTTGGAGTATTTGGAACAAAAGGACCTAAAAGCTGCACTTGCTGAGGAATGGGCAAGGATCTCTCCTGAAACGGCAAGAAAAGTAGTGGAGTCGATGCCTAAAAGGCTAAAAGTAGTTATTGACCAACAGGGAAGTCATACTTAGTATTAAAATATCAAACCTGTTCCTTAATTTTGTTTTTTGTGAATATTTTTTAAGGTGGGTCGAATAAGCTGTGACATTGAATTATTGTTTTTTTTTTTTTCGTTTTTTTTTTAATAAAATAGGTTAATAAATCAAAAAATTGTTCATTAGTTTAAATATTCATCTACGATTCTGCGTTTAATTTTTGTTGATATCTCTTTTCGTTTAAAAGTTATACTGTAAGCCACTGTATATTATAAGTAATTAGCTACAATTCTGCATTTAAAGAATTTTGATTTAACAACGCGTTTACTTGCTTCTGCGTTTTGAAGATATTTATAACGCTGTGATTCACTGTATGTACAACAAATAAAAATAAAATATCTGAAAAAAATTATAAAGCAAAACTTTTATGTATGTGAACAGATAACCAAATTGGCCAAATTAAACTAAGGATATAAGAACATCAAAACTCAGTGAAGTGTTTCGTTTGCTGGTGTTGGCATATAGTGCACTTGCATTCTTCTACTAAATAATTTTTGGTATTTTTGATTGTGTGGTACATTTCAGTAGTTCCTTATATACATAGTTTAGAAATATTAGGCCCTATTACATGTGCCATTCACCCGTTTCATATAATTTTCAGAGTGGATGAGTGACCACCGGTTTGGTTTTTGATGTTTGATAACCGGAAATCTACTTTAGCATGGTTTATTTAAAGTTCTTTTAGTTCGCCTCTTGATTGAAGCAGTCGGTTGGGTTACATGTGAGTGATGCATTTAATATATTTTTAGTACGTTTTGTCAATTCAGTTCTAATCTGTTTTTAATTTAAAGCTGTAAACATATTTATTTTACATGCGTATATATTTGGTGTTTTAATACACTTGCGAGATATATTAATATATGTACATACATATAACAATTTAAACGTGGAACTACTTAAAATATGCATGTTCATGTATGCATGTATGTACACACTTACATGCATGGCAATGTACATTGTTTATATCTTCGTATTATTGAAATTTTAGTTAGTCTTATTAAAATTAACACTACATACATATGTATATTAAATGATGCCTACGTGGCGTGAAATGCTTCATTTCTATATACATACATACATATGTATGTATACATATATACCTTACGTATGTACATACTTGGGTATTTACATATTAAATTACATCTATTATATGCCTTTATATTACAAACACATGCACATATCGAAAGATTTCTGGTAAATAATGGATGCTGAAGAACAGTTTGCGACTGGAGATTCCGGCGCGTCATCTACTTTTCCTATGCAATGTTCGGCCTTGCGAAAAAACGGCTTTGTAATATTAAAAGGAAGGCCTTGCAAAATCGTGGAGATGTCAACTTCTAAAACTGGAAAGCATGGGCATGCCAAAGTGCATATGGTTGGAATTGATATTTTTTCAAATAAAAAATACGAAGATATATGTCCATCCACTCATAATATGGATGTTCCACATGTTAAAAGGGAAGACTATCAGCTAACTGATATATCTGATGATGGCTACCTGACCTTAATGGCCGAAAATGGTGACTTACGGGAAGATTTAAAGGTTCCCGATGGTGATCTGGGTACAACATTGCGCAATGATTTTGGCAGTGGCAAGGATTTATTGGTAAGAATATTTATTCAATAGAATACATACATGTATACCATAGATAAAACAATGATACCTTTTCTTTTAGTGCACGGTTCTCAAATCTTGTGGCGAGGAATGTGTTATCGCTATTAAGAGCAATACAGCTCTGGATAAGTAAAACGTATTTCTCGTTGCTGCAAATTTACATACATATGTTGCATTTACATCTAAAGTAAATCTGATCAAAGATGCTGTTATAGGCTAGTTGACTCACCATCTTTAAAATACTTCGAAGGATTTTTAAAATATGATTACAGTTAAAGCTAAATTTTCAAAGCATCAAGATTAAAAATATATAAGCAACAAAGTACGCGTTTGCCAATAAAATATTTTTTACCAAATCTTGTTTTAAATTAACGTAACTTAAAAAGATATGTTCCGATTCAAGAATAACTTGCAAAAAGCATACTTTAGTTAATTTTAATTTGTTGTCTTGTCAACCAGGTATGTACGGAATTTCCACACTTGAAGGAATTCCACTATTGTGTTGTGCTTGATACTTGTATAGTCCGACGGTGTCTCCGTTTTGTAATAAATAGTCCCTGGGTTATGAAGACAAGATACACCGCGAAGGCTGTTATGCTTGCAGTGCCATCAGCAGTATAGTTTTAAAAATCTAGTTCATATAAATCTGCACTTACCAAATAATCCCGAAGCTTGCGTTCAAAAACGGCTGATGTAAATTTTACTATTAGGGTGGCAGCGTTCCCTGCTCACAGAATTTTTCCCACATTTTTAATTCCCTTTAATAACTAGTGTACTGAATGTATGTGTATCCTATCTCACAGTTTAAATTGGTTCTATCAATTGTTTGTAGTAGATTATTCAATTCCAAATCTAAACACTAAGTATCTTATTTTTCCTGTGACTGCAAACGCAAAAGAATTTTTAATTGGCCTAGTTTTCTTTCTTTAAACAAACAGGTTTACGGAAGTGATATTCCTAAATAACGCCTAGGGGTAAGAGAAAAAACATCAAGGGTACCTATGGGCAGATATATAATTCATTAATAGAAGGTATGCACCAAACCCAAATAGAACGGGAGATCATCTGCACAAAGCCCAAGCATAGATGCAAACGATACAAGTGTCGTTAAAAATCTATCGATTCACATGAGCTCAACCATTCCAGTCACTGCTTTCAGTAATTCCATTAATCCATTTATCACAAAATTCAGTAACTGTGAATTTACTCTCCTGAACATTAAAAAATATATGCACGGAACCCGTGATTTTTCGATATTACAATCAGTGCTGTCATTCGTTTAATTCAAAATAGCAGTTTCTAACTGGAAGAAAGGGCAAAAAGCTGAAAATGTATAGAAAAAAAAACTAAAAAGCTGTTATGGTTTTACGAATTTATTTGTTGTAAGGTGATATTTACATTAAATCATTCAGGTCTGCGAGGTTCGCATGTGTACGACATGGTCGTACCAATCATGCGTGAATAATTATAAGGCAATTGGTAGTCAAAGCAGCATAGTTTTGTCAGGCAAGTTGACAAAGTGACTGGTGACAAAATTAAAAAAAGCGGGAAAAAAGCCAAATACATTTATATAAAATCCAGAATTCCCGCAATTCTCAATTTTTTCCCTCAACAGGCCTTACAAAACACCCAGATTTGACGGGAAAAAAGCGAAGGAAGCCCTGATTACAATTGAACTTTATCAACAAAATATTGTTAGAATTATTTAAGGTTATGTGTACAATGCTTGACTTGTTCATTGAACGAAAAATGGAGAAAATAGCGCGACGGAAATATTGGTCCATACAAAAATGTACGGTAAAATTTTTTTTGCATTTTTTTTTAGGAAACACTAAAATGTACACAGTAAATAAGATTTGAAATCGGAATAAAATGTATTAATAGCTGCCAGAAATCCGTTATGAGATTGTATAAGTTCTCGGCTTTTAAATAGGAATATATCTATACATGCATATACATAAAATATATATGCAGTGAATCACAGCTTATTTCGTGCAGACGATGTACAACATTTTTTAAATGCAGTATTGTAGCTTTTTACTTTTATATTTGTATTAAACATGTTTAGTGAATTTCGAGCAAAACAGTAATGGATTATATTGCAACCAAAAAAAAGGTCGCAGCTTATTTCGTGCAGTGACTTACATATGTACGTGCGCGAGCAATGTCGAATGGTTAACCGAAATGGAGTTCTTCCCCTGTTCAGGAAAAATACGATATCAATGGTCGGCAACCTTTAGGAAGCTGTTTATGTCTGCAAGAAATACGATGTGCAAACTTTTCCCGTTCTGAAACCAATGTCATAGTGGGACGACATAATTTGTACAGCCAAGTCCAAATGTAATATCTATGGGTGCGACAGCATGAAGCGGCAATGGCGTTAGCCGAATATTCAGCTTCATTCATTCAAGCAGGGAGGAGGAGGTGTACATGTTTGGGCCTATATGTCTGCCTCCGGAGTCGGAAAATTGGTTTTCAGGGAGGAATCATGAATAACAATATGTACCTCACAAAATTGAAAACCAATTTACTCTAAAGTGCCAACATGTTAAGCTTGCAGGATCGTTTCCGATTTTACCAAGACAACGACCCAAAGCATTAGTCGAGAATTTTGCAGACAGCTCAGTCACTGGACTTGAATGTTATAACAAATTTTTAAGAAGGCCCTATTGGAAAAATCAATATTAGAAATTATCAATAACCATTTGAAAACCCTTATCCAACATAAAAATGGCCAAACCAAATATTAAAGATTAATATAAAATACTTTTTTTAAGTCTGAACGCACTGCACGAAATAAGCTGTGACCTAAAATTGTCGTGCCTTTTTAGTTTTCGTTATTTTTTATACTCTGTACATGAAATGTACAGAAGTATATTAGGTTTGCGGGAGCTGAAAAATGTAACAGGCAGAAGGAGGCGTGGCAGACCCCACAAAGTATATATATTCTTGATCAGCATGACGAGACGAGTCGATCTAGCCCTGTCTGTCTGTCTGTCCGTCCGTATGAACAGAGACTATAAGAGATAGAGACACAAAATTTTGCACAAAGATGCGTTATGTGTGTATTCTATACGAGTTTGTTTTATTTTTTTTATTCCCCCCCCCCCCCCCCTTCCCCACTATGGGGGTTTTCCCGATTTTCCATTCGTATAATCGCCTATATCTCGGAGACTATAAGACTATAAATTTTAGTCCCAGATGCCTTATGTGAATACGCAGAAAATGTGTATTTTGGAATTTCCCTCCCTCCCCCCTCTCCCATGCAAATTGCGATTTTTTCTAACTCCCGTACTTCTTGGAATTTCGAACTAAAATTTTGGAAATACTCCCAGTTGGTTATTATATGTCCGTATGCCAAGTTTCACTATGATAGACCGATTTAACAAGAAGTTATAGGCATAAATATATTTGCTGCTGCAGCGCTGCCCGCGGCTGTTGTTGATGTTGCTGTTTGGTTGACTGCGAAAATGCTTACACAGACACGAATAGATGCGCATAGGCATACATACACTCACACAGACGCAATTGCTATGTAAATGTACAATTATAAACCCTTTACGTGAGTTCGAATACCGAGAGAGGTAAAATCGATCAAATTTTTTTTTTATTTTCTTAATTTTTTTTATTTTCTATAATTATTGTAAACATATGTACAGAGTATTTCAAAGTCGGGACACCCGACTTTAGCTTTTTTACTTGTTTTTGTTTTTTTTTTTTTTAAATACTATTAATAAGAAACAATTCAATCCCTTTTAAAAAATATATTTAAGAGTCAACGAATTGGAGTTTAAATCATTCATATTTTGGATGTAACGTCAATTTTTGCGCCTGAACAAAATAAGCTGTGACTTACTGATATAACAGTTTGTCCTGACTGACTGATTGGTGATCAACGTACAGCTCAAACGGTAAGGGCTAGGAAGCTGAAATTTGGGCTCAAGTAACCTACACTAGTAGGTGCTTAGGGTTTTGGAAAATTATATTCAATAGAAAAATACAAACAAAACTGCATACTCGGTTTATTTTAATTTTTTCTTGGGGACTGATTTTTTGGGGCTTTCTTGGCGCATAAAAGAGAACCGCGTCAACTTCGGACAGCCCAAACGGTTAGTGCTAGGAAGCTTTAATTTAGGCTGTCATAGTGTAGTAGTGGAAGCACTTTTTAAAATTCTAGCTCCAAAGGAGGGAAAACGAACTCCAAAATTTGTTTGCAAAACATGCAACTTCAAATTTGGTTTTTATGATCTATGAAAGAATTCGAAAAAAATGACTCGGTTTTTATACTCTGTACGTGAAATGTACAAAAGTATATTAGACATGCGCGAGATGAAAAATGAAATAGGCAGAACGAAGCGTGGCAGACCCCACAAAGTATATATATTCGTGATCAGCATGTGAAGACGAGTCGATCTATGTTTGTCAGATTCCTTATGTGTGTACGCTATACGAGTTTGTGTTTTTTTTTTTTTGATATTACCCCCCCTATGGTGGAATTATCACCTATATCTCGGAGACTATAAGACCTAGGAGCCTATTGTGAATATTCAGAAAATGTGTATTTTGGAATTTCTCTCCCATCCCCCGCAATTAGTGATCTTTCATAACTCCCGTAATTCTAGGACTTACGAACTCAAATTTTGCAAATACCATTGGTTATTATGTGCCCATATGTCAAGTTTCATTATGATAGACCGATTTAACTGAAAGTTATAGCCATAAATATAATTGCTGCCCAAGCGCTGCCCGCAGCTGTTGTTGATGTTGGTGCTTTGGTTAACATGCTCACACAGACACGCATAGATCTACATAGACATACATACACTCACATAGACGCAATTTCTATGTATGTAATATACACCCTTCACGTGAGATAAAATTAATTATTTTAATTTCTATAATTATTCTAAATACATAGAGAGTATTTCAAAGTCGGGACACCCGACTTCAGCTTCTCTACTTGTTTGAAATTTGTCTTGGGGCTTAAATATATTTCTTCACTTTTTATTAAATGTAACATTTTTTGGCATTAAACTATTTTCAAAATATAGAAATAGGGGTTTCACTTCGCATATGCAGCAACTATTAAAAGAAATATCAACCAGTTTGGAACATCACATCCAAACACTCACTGTAACAAAATGCTTGGTACTCGTATTGTTTTTGCCGTAAGTCTTACCATAATATATTTCTTATGGTTATAATTTATCGAAGTATGATTTGATTTGTCGATTAAACGGTTTTTCAGCTGGAGAGCGATTCATTGTTGAGTGTGGGGTAATATTGTTCAGCAAATATACATTGGGCCAACGCAAAATCGATATTTATTTCGCCTGCAAGTC